CTCCAGTAAAGAGCTTCTGCAGCTGTTCGGACTCCTCGGGAGACTGTGACTTAGATGTGATAGGGATACTTTAAGGATGCTTATTACTTACTCAGCAATGTCCACCAGCAGAGGGAGTGATCTACTGAACATATCCCTCGATGTTTTATCTATTACTATGAGGGGAGTATTGAAGTCTCCAAGTGTAATTATGTATTTATTCATTTCTCCTTTCATTGCTATCTAATTTTTGCTTCATGATTTTGGAGTTCTATTGCACACATACACATTTAGAAGTGTTTTGCCTTAGGATAAATTGTCTCCTTTATCATTTTTAGGTGTCTTCTAAACCCTGCTAATATTCTTTGTACTGAAGTCTAGAGCTAATATTGTCACTTTAACTCTTATTTGTGTAGTGCTTATGTGGTGCATCTTTTTTCAACTTTCATATTTATTACATGTCTTTATTTTTAAAGTGGGTTTTTTTGTGTGTGTGCACAACGTATATTTGAGTCTTGCTTTTTAAAATCTCATTTGACAGTCTCTGCACTTTAATTGGAATATTTATATTATTTCCACTTAATGCAGTTATTGATATGGTTGGATTTAAATCTACCATTTTATTATTGGTTCTTTATGTGTCCCATCTCTTTTTAGTTTATTCTGCCATTATTTTTTTTTAGTTCAGGTATACAGCCTACTTTACAAAGTGTTCCCCTGATATTTCTACTCACCTGGCATCATATATAGTTATTACAGTATTATTGACTACATTCCCTATGCTGTACTTCACATCCCCATGACTATTTTATAACTATCAATCTGAATTTCTCAAACCCTTCACCTTTTTCATGCAGTTCCATACTCCCCCCCTCCCCTCTGGCAACCATCAATCTGGTCTCTGTATCTATGAGTCTGTTTCTGTTTTGGTTCATTTATATTGTCCTTTAGATTTTATAAAAAAGTGAAATCATAGGGTATTTGTCTTTCTCTGACTGATTTATTTCACTTAGCATAATACTCTCTAGGTCCATCCATGCTGTTGCAAATGGGGTTGCTTCCATATCTTGGCTACGGTAAATAACCTACTGCAGTGAACCATAAGGGTGCATAAATTCTTTCAAATTAGTGTTTTGGGTTTCTTTGGATATATGTCCAGAAGTTGAATCGCTGGATCATAAGGCAGTTTTAATTTTTTGAGGAAATTTCCTACTGTGTCCCATCGTGGCTGCACCAATCTGCATTCCCACCTGTAGTGCACAGGGTTCCCATTTCTTCACATCCTCTCCGACACTTGTTTGTTGATGTATTGGTGGTGGCTATTCTGACAGGTGTGGCATCATATATAGTTATTACAGTATTATTGACTACATTCCCTATGCTGTACTTCACATCCCCATGACTATTTTATAACTATCAATCTGAATTTCTCAAACCCTTCACCTTTTTCATGCAGTTCCATACTGCCCCCCTCCCCTCTGGCAACCATCAATCTGGTCTCTGTATCTATGAGTCTGTTTCTGTTTTGGTTCATTTATATTGTCCTTTAGATTTTATAAAAAAGTGAAATCATAGGGTATTTGTCTTTCTCTGACTGATTTATTTCACTTAGCATAATACTCTCTAGGTCCATCCATGCTGTTGCAAATGGTAAGATTTCATTCTTTTATGGCTGCCATCTGTATGTCCTCTTTGGAGAAGCATCTATTCAGGTCCTTTGTGCATATTTTAATTGGATTTTAGTTGTATGAGTTCTTTATACATTTTGCATATTACTCCCTTAACAGATGTATCATTGGCAAATATGTTCTCTCCCATTCAGTGGGTTGTCTTTTCATTTTGTTGACGATTTCCTTTACTGTTCAAAAACTTTTTAGTTTGATATAGTCCCATTTGTTTATTTTTTTTTCTTCTCTTTTCTTGCTGGGGAGATATATCAGAAAAAAAAATTACAAGAGAAATGTCAGAGATTTTACTGCCTATGTTTTCTGGTTTCAAGTCTTATATTTAAGTCTTTAATCCATTTTGAGTTTATTCTTGTATATGGTGTAAGAAGGTGGTCTAGTTCTATTTTTTGCCTGTTGCTGTCCAATTTTTGTAACACCATTTATTGAATAGACTGTCTTTTCCCCATTGTACTTTCTTACCTACTTTGTCAAATATTAATTGGCCATATAAGTGTGGGTTTATTTCGGAGCTCTCTGTTCTGTTCCATTGAGCTATGTGTCTGTTTTTATTCTAGTACCACCCTGTTTTGATAACGATACCCTTGTAGTATAGTTTGATATCAGGTAGGGTAATATTGTTCTTCTTTCTCAAGATTGCTGTGGCTATATGGGGTCTTTTGTGGTTCTGTATAAGTTTTTGGATTATTTATTCTGGTTCTGTGAAATATGCCATTATTTTGGTAGGAATTGCATTGAATCCATAGATTGCTTTGGGTAGTTATGAACATTTTAGTGATGGCAATTCTTCCTATCCATGAGCACAAGTATATGCTTCCATTTACTTATATCTTCTTCAGTTTCTTCAGTGTCTTATAATTTTCTTATTCTTAGGTATTTTTGTTTGTTTTAAAATATATTTTTATTGATTTCAGAGAGGAAGGGAGAGGGAGAGATAGAAACATCAATGATGAGGAAGAATCATTGATCAGCTGCCTCCGCATGCTCTCCACTGGGAATCGAGCCATGTGTCCTTCATTAGAATCAAACCTCGGACCCTTCAGTCTGCAGGCTGATTGTTCTATCCACTGAGCCAAACTAGCTATGGCTATTCTTAGGTATTTTTTTAAATACAATTATACTGGTAAATGGAATTTTTTTTTTATTTTTAGTTTCCCTTTCTGATAGTTCATTATTGGTATATAAAAGTGCAACTGATTTCTGGATATTAATTTTGTAACCTGCTACTTTAGTGAATCTATCAGTTCTAGTAGTGTTTTGTTTTTTTAATGGAATCTTTAGGGTTATCTTTATACGTATCATGTCATCTGTAAATAATGACAATTTTACTTCTTCCTTGCCAATTTGGATACCTTTTATTTCTTCTTGACTGCTGTGGCTAGGACTTCCAGTACCATACTGAATAAGAATGGTGAAAGCAGATATCCCTGTCTTATTCCTGATCTTAAGGGAAACACTTTTAGTTTTTTGTGCATTGAGTATGATGTTAGCTGTGGGTTTGTCATATATGGGCTTTATTATATTGAGGTATGTTCCCTATATTCCCACTTTGTTGAGAGTTTTTATCATAGATGGGTGCTGGATTTTGTCAGATGCTTTTTCTGCATATATTGATATGATCACATGTTTTTTATCCTTAATTTTGTTTGTGATGTCACATGTTAATTGATTTGTGGACATTGTACCAACCTTGCATCCCAGGAATAAATCCCACTTGATCATAATGATTTTTTTTTTAATCCTCACCCAAGGCTATTTTTCCATTGATTTTTAGAGGGAAGGCAAGGCAGAAATATTGATGTTAGAGAAACACATTGTTTGGTTGCATTCCACACGAACCCTGACTAGGCCAGGGCTAGGGAGGGGCCTGCAACCAAGGTACATGCCCTTGACCGGAATCGAGCCTGGGGCCAAGGGTCCGCAGGCTGACTCTCTATCCATTGAGCAAAACTGGCACGGGCTGATCTTTTTAATGTGTTGCTAGATGTAGTTTGCTAATATTTTATTAGGGTTTTTGCATCTGTGTTCATCAGGGATATTGGCGTATAATTTTCTTTCTTTGTAGTGTCTTCATCTGGTTTTGGAATTAGGATGACACTGGCCCCACAAAATGAGCTTGGAAGTCTTCGCTCTTCTTGATATTTTTGGAATAGTTTGAGAAGGGTTGGTGTTAGTTGGTTTTTGAATGTTTGATAAAATTCACCTGGAAAAGGGCATGCCTTTTACCCTATCAGGTCATTAGTGTGGAGAGCTGAGTTAGCCTAGTGGGAAGTTGAGCTGCTGCCACCTGGGGCTAGTGTGGGGCCTGGAGCGCTGGAAGGTTCTTCTCAGTGCTCCTGCTTCAGACATGGCTTTCAGGAGGCCCTGGTGCCCCTTTCTCTGTGCCTGCAGGAGGGGGCAGTGGGAGTAGGCCCCTTTCTCTGCGCTCTACCTCTTAGCCCGCCTCCAGTGGTAGGCCGCCGCTGGTACTTGGTACAGCCTCCTGGAGGGGCAGGGGCATTTATCAGGGTTTTCTTGAGGTTTCTCAGTGCTCCTGTCGCAGCCCTCGTCTCATGGCTGGGGCTTTCTCAGAAGTTCTTGTGTCAAAGAGTTCTTGGCGGGCTACCTGGTTCTTTTCCACCTCTCTGCACTGAGCATGCTGGGATTGATCTGCACTGAGCATGCTGGGATTGATCTGCACTGAGCATGTTGGGAAAGGAACCTGCAAAAGCTACGGACATTGTTTGTTAGAACTTTAGCATTCTCCAGAGTGATCTTTGAAAATAGTCACTCTGATCCCACCTCAGTGAAAAGCTGTCTAGTGTATGCCATGCAACCTCAGGTCACAGGCTTTCAGCTCTACAGTCTAGAGCCCTTCACTCCGACTTTCTATCAGCTACTTATTTAAGTCTTATCTGTCTCCCTGGCCCCAGACCTTCAGTTTTGAGGGCAGCTATCTTGTTCTCTGTGTATTGCTAGGGATGAAATGGCTCAGCAACTGTCTTGGAAGGATGAGGAATGCGTGGAACCCGGGAAAGCCCTTACCTCCCCAGCTCTCCATCTTGCAGACTCCTGCCCAGCTGCAGGTTCATGCACAGGCGTCACAGAGAAGCCTTTCTGGGGGCTCCCCAGGTTTGGGGACAGGCCTCTCTCCTGTGCCCCAGCCCAGCACAGACCTTGCAGTACTGATAGAACTGTGTGCACCTCTGCTCCCTCCTCCTGGTCCCCAGGGCAGGGCTATGCTAGCCAGGCCTGTCCCTCCCAGCCCTGGGCAGACTGCTTGGTGAGCCTGCGGAGGCCTGTGCTGCACCATCTGCAGCTGCATTAAAACGTTTAAGGCCTGTTTTTCTGTTGTAGGAAAAGCGAACCCTCTGTGGACATAAGTGGACTTGGACTGGAAGCATGTGGTGTGTCCTGCGCGGCTGGAGGCGAGGGCACCTGAGCCCTTGGGGAGTGCAGGGGCAGCAGTGGCCCCCGGCCCTCCGTGCTCTGGCCAGTGTGGCCTCCGGGAGTGGAAACGAGTACAGCCACGTGGTGGTGGGTGCGGGCTCTGCGGGCTGTGTGCTGGCTGGACGGCTCACCGAGGACCCTGATAAGCGTGTGCTGCTGTTGGAGGCCGGGCCCAAGGACACGCATGCGGGGAGCAAGCGGCTCTTGTGGAAGATCCACATGCCCGCGGCCCTCGTGGCCAACCTGTGCGATGACAAGTACAACTGGTACTACCACACGGAGCCGCAGGCAGGCATGGACGGCCGCGTGCTGTACTGGCCGCGCGGCCGGGTGTGGGGAGGCTCCTCGTCCCTCAACGCCATGGTCTACATCCGCGGGCACGCCGAGGACTACGACCGCTGGCACCGCCAAGGCGCCACGGACTGGGACTACGCTCACTGCCTGCCCTACTTCCGCAAGGCGCAGTGCCACGAGCTGGGTGCCAGCCGG